GTGCAAAGGGACAGCTCAAACCACCAGCGAAGCATTAGCCTGAGCCTCTCGGCCTCAGCCCTTGCTCAAGACCTCACTGGAGGTGGAGAGTTTCAGCACATGTCTCTGTAATCACGGTCCCATGTTCTCCCTTACCTGAGCGGATCCTGCATCCCAGCAGATGCAACATTTTGTTGACACTTTTGTCGCAAGAGATATCCGGACCAATGTCAAAAAATGCAGGTGGGCTAAAGCAGGTCACAGCACTCAGTGTACTCACTCTGGTGCTGGTCTCCACCTCAAAGTGCATACAGGGACAGACGTGATATATGAGTTGGCTTATACAGCAGGAAAGCTGGGACAAGCACCCAGAAATGCCAAGGTGATGAAGGTAAAAGTGGTCTGATCCTCTATCCTACACCCACCCCTCCAAGCCTTAGGGAGACTGAAAGACATTTAAGTAGCAGATGGGACCACGACGCACGTCTCGGTGCCCCCAGGTTTCAGTGAAATTACTGATCCGGGACCACCACCACGGGAGCTTTCCCCTTTCCCCTTCACCAGGCACATGCTGTCTGAGCCAGGCTCCGTTAGCCAAGAAGGTGCCTTTGGTGCTGAAGATACGGTACGGTGAAGGGCTGTGGTTTTTCAGCTCTCCTACTGTTGTTTTCCAAAGGTACCCAAACTGGCAGCGGACCCCTTTATAAAGGGGAAAACTCCACTTGGACGGACTGCAAGCTCAACGTCATCGGAGGCACTCGGCAGCTTTCATGCCCAGCTCACACTTTTAATGGATTTGCAGATGATGGGGCAAGGGAGAAAGAGCAAATAGAAAAGCTGCACTTGAGGATCTGGTCCCTGGAAATCCCAGCAACAATTCAGAGGTAAGGCTGAGCAGAGGATTTCATGGTCATCTGCTGCCATCTAGTGTCATCGGGACACCCAAAAGTCCTCCCCGGATTCATTAATTTCTCTAACCAGGCTTCAAGTCCTGCCCGTCCCATGGACCACAGGCCACATCTTACATTTGTGGATGCATCAGGATGGACATCATCCATCTGCACTCCCTGTGACCATCTCAGGTTAGAACAAAGTCAGCAAACAGACCATCACCCCTAAATTACGATCTTCTCATACCTCTGCTCCAAGCAGGGAGCCAGCTAGCAGCTCAAGGGCAGAGGAGCTGGGTTGGTCTGGGCATGTGGACTGGGAGGGCTGTTCTCAGCACTGCTGCTCTGCCTGGGGAAAAGGGATGCAATGGGTCATTCCACACCACGGCACAGCCAATCTGCCTCAAGAAAAATACGCTGGTGCATGCAAGGACATCTCCCAGGCAGAGAAAGGGTCTTTGAGAAGGATGAAAATATCTTTGAGTACTTATTGTGCTGCTGAGCAGAGCCCTAAACCAGTACATCTTTGCAGATCAGAAATGGGGGTTTCTATCAATCCCTTTTTAGCCTGAATAGCTCAAATTTAGCCCCCAAATGTGCGTGTCCTAGCTCTGCACTGTTTGTGAAGTTTAGATAGCTGTAGAGGGTGAACTCCCCATCTCTCCCCACTGGTAACAGGAGGAGACGAAAGGGAGTGTGATGGCCAGGTAGGTGACGTTAACGGGCAAGAATCCGAGCACAGGGACATTGCATCAGCTTGATGTGGTCATTCAATCACTGCTCTCGTAGTAAGGTGTTTTTTTGACTGCAGCACAGTCATCCCTCACATTGTCATTAAGCTAAATGATCCGACTCACTGAGAAACGTTTTTTCCAACCACTTCATCATCACAGCAACTTCTCTAAACCCTCTCCAACTGTTTCACCCTCTGTTAACACCTATACTGGACAGTAGAAGGGAGGGCATTCACAGGCAGGGAGCAGAGTTTCCCCTCTCCAGGAGCTCCATAGCCTCTTCCTCAAGTCTGACCATATCAGAAGTCCTTGGGATATCACTAAAAAAACAATGGGACCTTGGGAAGGTTTAGGGACCAGTTCATTTATCCTGTCCTCTGGAGGTCATCTGAGGATGATCTCAAGAGGTCCCTTTCAACCTAAATGACTCTGTGATTTTGTGACTTGTTATCAGAGTAAGAGGAGATGCTGGATCCTAGTCCCCACCTAGATATCCACCAACCAAGAAACATAAGGAGGTACCAGAGATGCTTCAGGGAAGACTCATGTGCATGACCAAAGAATTCAAAACAAAGTCTGATCATAAGAGAGTAAGGCCAGCTTAGGTTAAGACGGCCTTAACCACAACCTGCAATTAGCAGCCTATTTTGTAACATTGGGGATAATGAAACACCAGAACAGTTTCCTGAGGGTTGTCCCCGAGCCTACATCATGAACAACCTTTACATTTGTTGGATATATCTCAAAAAGATTTGTCCTAGGTCAGATGGGATCTACCCCAGGGTATTTGATGTCACACACAGTTGGACTGAATAATCCCAGGTTTAAGGGCTACAGAAGGGGGTCTAGGGATCTGTTTGCACTGGTGTGGCAGGAGACCCAGAGACCTTGGTGTCCAAAGGCTCAGGGAACTTCTGAGCAAGAAAAGAGCCAGAGGAGCCAGGGGACTGTACAAAGCCTTTGTTCTGATTTCAGACCCTGACAGAGCCGCATGTCAAGTCATAGGAAAGTGGCACGGTATAATACTGTGCAGGTCAACAGCACCTTTCATCTGAGGATTGTAAAGCCCTTTCAAGACATCAGTTTGTTAAACCTCACAACACCCCTGTGAGGTAGGTATTACCCCCCATTTTACAGACGGGGGGAACTGAGGCACAGAGAAATGCAATGGCTTGGCCAAGGCCTTTGGGCAAGCCAATGACACAGGCAGGAGGTCTTCCTGCTCTTGTTCCCGACTTGTGGCTCCTTCCCCCTTTGGACAGCAAAGTGGTAGCAGCTCACAGAGCCACTGCTGGGCTTGCCCCATGAGCAGGGAACATGCAATGTTTATGGAGGGCTCCTGAGCCCCTTGAAAGCACCTTGGTAACCAGCTGCCACCAGCACTTCAGACATTAAACCATTTCCCAGACAGCTTCTCCTTCCAGGTACGACCCCAGGATTGTCACTGTTTTTTCTTGTGCAATCAGGCAGGAGTCCAGGAGGAGCCTGAGAACTTGGATCCTTCATGGAAATGTCCCAGCACTGCATGGCACAGTCCAAACTGGAAACCATTTTTCTCTCACGGCAAATGTCTCCCCGGAGACAATGCCCAGCATTGAACTCTGGTGGCAGTGGGTGGTGGGGAGGTCTCACCAGGCCTGGAGGAGAAGGAGGAGGTAGCTAGAAGGATATTACACGGCTTTTGCTGCCACTGTTGTCAGCATCTTTCGTCAGTGCTGGATGTTCACTTGACCCCAAGTCACCTCATCCCAGCCCATGTGCAATATCAAGAAACTAAAGCTAGGGGGTAAATTGGCCAGGAAGCGATGCCGGGAGCTGTGGTGGAGTCTCCATCATGGTAACCCCACCACCAACCCACCCCAACCCTTAGTTATGTCATGGTACCAATTTCCCCTCTCCTCCCCCCACCACTACAGTTTTTGTGCTGAATACATATTCTGTCTTATAAAAATAGTCCTCTGGTATCAAAAGACAAAAAAAAACAAGAGAGGAACAAAAGACCCCTGTCGCCAGCAGCAGTGCAAATCGGGAGAGCCAGCTCAGGAAGGGTGGGCTTAAGGTGTCCTTGGTTTGTCACTTCTTCAAGGGGAAGGAGGTTGATTGGACTTTGATGGCTGGGACTGGCCTAGAGTGAGAAGAAAGAGAAAGGAGACGACTCATTTGAGTGCAGAGACCAAGCATCCACCACCTCCACCACAACCAGCTGCTGTCCCTGAGACCAGAGGAGACCTGGGACTGTCATGGTCACCCATGTCCTCTCTCAAAGATACAACCCCAAATTGTATCAGTTTGAGATGTTTTCCTTTGGCGTACCCTCAAAACCCTGATAGGATGCAGAGTCCACCAAAGCATGTGGTGACACCGGGCAGTAACCAGCAGTGAGAACTGGGACCCCACCAGCTGAGGGAGTGATATTGCCCAAGGGGATACTGCTCTTGGCTTCCCAAGACCAGCCCAGCCAAGGTGGTTCGTGCGTTACCAAGAGACGTCACCAAATCAACCAACCCAATATGAACCCTATAGTCCATCCTGGAAATTCAGGAAATCTCTCATCTCATCTGTCCAGGAAAGACAACAGTTCCTTGGCCCTCTCCTAGCATGTTGGTGGTGTCAAGTAATGAATACGGACCAGGACATGGGCACATCCTGCTCCCTGGCAGAAGTCTGGGCCTGCCAGTCTACACTTTCTGATACGGGGACTGTTTCAAGAGAGGATGGCCAGGGGCTGCTCTCAGTGGGCAGCAAGGACAAACCTACACTGTTTGGGGAAGAGAGCTGAGTTTGGCTGCCAGGATGTGCCAAGTCTTCTTTTGGGACCACGGAACAGGCCTGCTTTATCTACTAGAAGAGTTGAGCTATAGGGATTGAGTCACACTGAGAAATTTTGGGGCATATTCAGTCTCTTTCTGGTGGCAACTACAAAGGCATAAGGACCTAAAATAGTGTAAGAGGGTCAAAGCAGTAATTAGCAAAGCAGACTGTCTGGGGATGAGGGCCAACTTGAGTCCAGCACGGTGCCTTCTCTCCATGGCTGGATATGGCCCACAAGCCTGGCTAGCAGGAGCAGATGCAAGCGCGATCCCTTGAGGCTCCACTGATCCACATCCAGAAGATTTAGCAGTATAGCAAGAGCTGAAAGTAGTAGTGATAATGTAAAGAACTTGGACTTAATCTCCCAGCTCTGAACTGGAAAACCCGCATCCTCCATTCCCTTGGACACAGGTGTCCAAGCCCTGCTGTTGCTCAGGTACCCAGAGGAGCTATGTCCTGCTCATCTCAGAGCCTCTGGGAAGGCAGACGTTTAATCCCCAGTCTCCTGGTTCCCAGCCCAGTGCTTAACCAAAGGCTGTCCCCCCACAAGCAGTCCCCATGGTCCTGCATGGTGTCTGTGACTCACCTTTGAGGTGGCATCAGCCTGCAGGGAGGAAAGATGAAAGAGAGCATCAATGTCCATCCCTTCACTCCACTGTCCCCCAGCAGGACACCAACAACTCCCTCCATGCTCTGGGATAGGAGGCCATGCGCACCCCCAAAGGATGGCATCTCCCTTAACCCGTCAGGACCTTACAAGACCCAACTTTGGTCAGCGTTGGCCAATCTTGGCCAAACCCTGTGGGGTCCTGCCAGGAGGCATGGCTGCAGAGCCCGGGCACCTGCAGGTACCTTGCTCAGGTGGGCAAGCTTTTCTCCTGCACCACGCAGGAAGGAACATGGGCACAAGATTATTTATGCACATAACATCCCCATCTGGACAAACACTTTGGTTGCAGTTGCTCTCCAAGTAGCAGAATTTGGGACGTCTTCTGATTTCCTTCCTACCTTTTGCTGCTGCCCCCAAATGTCCTGTAACAAAGATCCACAATGCCCTACAGACCAGTTACCCCAAAGTTGGTGGGCTTTGAACTCCTCTGTATCTCCAGCAGCATGCACAGACCCGCACACCTCAGAGCACGGAGCATTTCTCCTGCTCCTCAGTAGCCTGGCCTGTACACACCAGCCATATCAGGGAGGAGCAGGAGAAACCCAGGTCACAGCAAAGACACCACGAGGGGCAGACCAGAGTACACCACAATGACATTTGGGACGTCCCACCCAGACGTGACCCACAGGACCCCCCACTGTGTCCACCTGCAGGACCCCAGCAGTGGTGGCAGATAGCTCAACTCCTCTTTCAACTTACTTCAATGGCCTCGTGGGTTGGCTCACGGCATTTGCACCCGACACCTTGAAGTTGGTAGGAGGGACCATGACCAGCAGGTAGGAGGGACCTCCATGTGCAGGAGGCAGCTCTTTGGCCAGAAGAGGACTTCCAGGCAGCGGTCGACGGGGGGGTTGGTGCTTTGGGACAACCTGGGATCACAAAGTGTATGGGGAGAGAAGAGCATCCTTAGAGGAGCATCCAATGACCTCCTACAAACCTCTCTCCCCTGCTGCACAGATGAAATGCTTCAAAGCGTGTAACACCACCACCCAAACTACCTTAAAATATTCTCATTATCTAATGTGCTTTCTTCACCATTGCAACAGATTCATCTCTTAGGGTGGCGTGACAGCTCCTTAATAGTGCCCAACCCAAAAGAGCCACAGGCAGCCAAAACCCAGGGAATTTCTATGAGTCTGGAAGGAAAGCACAGCCAACCAGCAAAGCTCACCAGCGGGGTCCTCACGGGGCTGCAGGGAAGAGGTTTCTTCGGAGGTGGCAGCTTAGCCTGGGAGACGACCGTTTTGGTGGGGACCATGGGCGATTTGCTGACTGGCGGAGGTGGCCTGGCAGGCTTGGGGTCTCTTGGGCGCGGAGGGAGGGAGTGGGGAGGCGGGCGAAGAGGGTGGACAACGTTGACAGGCTGAGAGCCGGGCTGGTGAGCACTGGGTTTGGGGGGGAACGCAGCCCGTGTTGCCTGCAGGGATGAGAAAAGCAGAAGTATAGAGAAAATCCTTAGGTGTGTTTTCCTGGGTGCTGAAAAGCAGATGTCCCCTGAAGGTCTGGATGCTAGGGAGCTGCAGGAGAAGCATTGGGTATTTATTCCACTTTCTGGGACTACCACTTTTAGCATCCCGCCCAAAAGCTGAACATGTTTGCTTCTCGCTACCCATATGAGAGCACACAGGGATGAGAAAAGTGCTGGTCTCAGGAGATCTGGAGCAGAGCCAGCTCTGGTGAATCCATACCAGATTTCCACCAGATGGGAGACATCACTCATGCTGCCCCGCTCTCAGCCACTGTGGCCATGCTCAAAAAACCTAAATTCTTCCTAAATTCAGCCCTGGGCTTACACATCCTAAGGTCACCAGAGCTGACACAACCAGCAGCAGAAGCATCTGCCTCCCCGGAGACCCAGCACAAAGTCATCAGCGGGATTGCACAGCCCCTGCTAAGCTTTGCCGTGGTGATGGGCAATTTTCCGGCGGAGGCTCCTGGCAATCTCCAGGATCTTTTTGAGCAGGCAGAGCTCAACAGACTCACTTTTAGGAGGGATATGTACTACTGACCAAGGGCTCACAGTGTAGCCACAACGCAAAACCAGCACGGAGCACCAGTTGCTTGCCCAGTTGCTAGAGGTAGATGTGATCATCCACAAGTATCAAGTCCCAGGGAGGGAAAGCAAACCTGGAAGGTGAGTTATTACTTACTTTATTAGTGTGGCTGGAGGTGGAAATATTCCGCAAGGTGAAAGCAGCTTTGGGATGGCCACTGGTTGACTTCCGACCGATGGTTTTGTTCCTGCCCGGGATCACAAACATAAATCACAGATGGCAAAATAAAGCAAGCATTTTTGCAACAGCTGCCTCCTGAAATGCTGCACATCAGCGAGATCCTGTCTCCATTAACAGATTGTTAACAGACAGTCTTGCAGTGCTGGGTGAGCAGGGATGACAAGTCTGTCTTGAGATAATGAAGGAGATTGATTGTTTTTTTCCCTCAAATTATTGCAGGGGCTCTGAGGTGTGTGTGTGTCTGTACCTGTACTGGGAGGGGAAATAATGAGAACATCTACATTCAGTGCTTCTTTAGAGCCCTTCCAGTTCTCGCAGCCTGCTAGGAGCAGATGGCAAGAAAGCTCCTCGGTACCAGGCCACCTTCATCACCACTCTCTGTGGTTGTCCAGTCCAGAGGACCATTCCTGTCCTCTGCTCAGGGGAGAGCTGAAAGCCTCAGATTTTCCCAGGAGAGAGCTCTTCATATCTCAAACCAGGTCTCATACCAGTTTGAAACAGACCCTGTGCGCCACTAGCTCCCCCACAACTGTCCCTACCAGGCTGGATGCTGCCAGTGGCAAGAAAACAAGGTTCCAGAGTCTCACTGGGTCCTCAAGAGAGAAGGGATTTAGGATGCATCACCTACCTATATGTCTCCTGGCTCCTCCTCCTCATCTCCTTCATCCATTTGTTCAGGAGCGAGTTCTCCCGCCGGTACCAAAAGTAGATGCTCATCATCAGGGCCGGGAGGAAGAGCAGGAAGATGAGCAGAAGGGTTAATAAGATGGCTTCGTGATCTGGCAGGGAAAGCACAAGGATGAGTGCAAGGCTGGGAGAGCCAGCAACCTCCGGCTTCATTCGATGGAAACGTTGGTCCCGCCTGCCCATTCCTGGCCACCCAGGCCAGAGACATCATTGCTGATCACACCTCCAAAAAGGGAGCAGTACCACCCAGTGGTCTCTGATAAAAATGGGTGGCCATCAAGCAGCCAGAGCTGGGCACAGGCTGTGAGTCTGCCTGAATGGACCCAGCCCAGCACATTTGAGAGCAGAGCTGTCAGCAGCTTTATCGCCCCGTTTCCCCGCCTCGTCGCATCGTTCCAGCCCCACCAGCGTCACAAGGCACCGGAGGAGAAGTCGTGACTCACTGTCGCGCTGCACAGGGCCACTGTCCACGCTGCCACCCAAGCCCGGCTTCTCGCAGTTGGGGGGAGCCCAGCCAGCATCGCAGTGGCAGTTCTTGTTGCTGTTGCAGACCTGCAGATAGAGAAGGAGGGTTGGAGACCACAACGGATGTATGGAAACAATGGTCTGTACGGTGGGGATGAGAGCAGATGGCCAACAGCTGAGTCCGGGCTGAAGGAGCTTAACCCCTGCCAATATTCACCCCTTGAACATCACGTGGATCGTGTCTGTGTTTCCCTCAAATCTGTGATTGCAATGTTTTGCAATATTTTCTTGCTGATACTTTTATTTCCCTGCTCTTTGCAGAAGACAGGTATCTTATACCCTCAGTTTTCGCACCGCTTGACTAGACAAGCCTGATGCACTTAATACTTTGTGTTAGGCCAGAAGTTTGTTAAACATCTTCCCCTCAGGGTCTTTCCCATTAAACCATAGCATTTCTGAAGCAGAGAATCCAAACCAAGAGCCTTAACGACGCTGAGTAGAACGGAAAGGTAAATTTGGGTGTTTTATCTATCACATTTCTCTACATAATCCAGCAGTGATTTTCTACAGCAGTTTGTTATTGCTTATCTGACAAAGCGTTCTGCAGAGGTCAAATCTTTATAGCCTTTAAGCTTTGGACAATAGTGACTCTTTCTATTCGCTGAACCATTTCCCTGCCTTTTTGCAGTCCCAGTTGTGTTTCTAACTCTTAGAA